CAGATAAAATAAACCCTATTTAATCTTTGTATTAAATAGGGGAATTTGTCGGTCATATATAAAAGGTTCGCAGACTAAACGGATGTCACAAATCTCTTAGTTTGCTGGATTGGGTCTATCGCCGAGGTCTACACTTATCTTTCGGGAGGGTGTAGTATTCGCGGTATCAGACACGATTATGCAAACTATTGGACGAATGAGATCCATTTGGTCTCATTTTTCAAAAACTAAAACACACTACTTTCAAAACCCAAACTATATATCTTTTATATTTAAATTAAATCTCAAAAATTATTTTCATATATCATATTTTTCAAATAAATCTAATCAATCGAAAGAAAAAGTTGACCGACAATATATCATGATTCTATTCTAGAGCTTTTAGAAGTTTGGGAAGCAGAGTAGACAGGGAGTGGTTGTGGAATAGTAAGGTCATGAAATTATGGGTGATCGGCGATATTTTGAAAGGGATAGATGATGCTCGGTGGCTGTCCCAATTGAAACAGTGAGGCAGACGATGAAACTGGAGGTCGAGAAGGTTCACCACATGTTCTTGCATAAGTTTCTTCTACACCACTTGCAAATGAAAAATTATACATCACTAGTTAGGGTAGAAATTAGAGATACAATCTCTAAAACACAAACAAAATTAAAATTCCCTAAAAATAAGAAAATAAACTTATAAATAGTCTCTTAATAGAAAATAACCTAATTAGAAGGAAATCAATAAGAAAGAAATCAAAAGTAAATAAATATGCATAAATAGAAGAAAATCGAGCGGCTTTGTGGCTCCCTTATAGTTTCGTGATCACGAGATTGAATGGCAGTTTGCAGAATCCTGCTGTAAGCTCCTGCATCATGCCACCTTACCTGTGCATCAAAAGGCGAATTTCACTTTTTAAAAGTTAAAAAAGTGCTATTTTTGATGTAATATTGAAGATTTGCATGGTATAAATGTAAGAAGTAAAGGTTAGGTGTCAGATATGTAAGTACGTAAGAATTGGGTGCTATGAATGTAAATGCCCCCCAATCTGAAATAGATGTAAAACCTAGTAGTTATAGCATTCTGTGGCGCCTTAGTGATTACAAGTGAAGAAAAGAGGGGTGGGGGAGAGGGAGATGTTTATTTATACAATTATTTAATAAATTAATACATTAATAACAGTAATTTCCTATTAATGTCAAATTATTTAGTCACAGTTACGGATTTAATTCCTATTTATTATGTTAATTAGAGTATGATTCATCAATGGAAATTTTTTTTTAAGTCTTTTAGATGATCTATTACTAATTATTTTTCGTTATGGTGCAAAAAATTATTATTTATTTTAATTTTTAAATAAATACTAATCTTTGTAGTATCTTTAAAGTTACTAATACTTTGTTTCGAGTAAAATTTTATCTATTTAGCAATTATTACAGTAATTAACTAATATATAACCCTGCTGCTAACAAAAAATAATTAACATTACAATAAACAACTACTGATTAATGGGCTCCTGGTTATTTACAGAATCTGACAGTCAAGGCTATAATTTGAAGTAATTTTATTGAGTTGATTGACAAACATAGCCATGATTAGTTTGGTAATTAATTTCATTAGTATCTTACTGTTTTTTAAGTAATAAATAAGTATTTACATAGTTTTTATTTAATTTCTTAATTATTCTATAAATTTTCCACATAATTTTCCTTGCTACCAAACCATCATAGTGATTGAAGGTGAAGATTTGTAGATTCAGAAATTGGTTGGCAATAAATTTAACCTCTATATATTAGTTGTCTATTCAACTAGTTCTGATATTCTAAATCTCACTTGCAACCAAATGGACACAAATAAGTTTTAAGTGTTTTAGGTGCTTTTAAAAATTATCATACTTTAATCAAATAGCCAAACATGTTTTATTTCAAATCAAGACAAACAATATTAAAAAAAATAAAAATAAAAATAAAAAATAAAAAATAAAATTGATCCCAAATGCCCCCTTAAGAAAAAACATTTTAAAAAATATAAAGCTACTAATTTTACTATCTTGAACAATTTATTATAGCATTGTCATAAGGTTCACTATTGGTATGCCAATTTTTCAGTTTTTATTTTTGAATGACCTCGCATCACCGGGAGCTTGAATCAATGTTGTGATACACCTATCTATTGGCTATGTTAATGATTGATTGTGCATTATTTGCCAATTTTTATGCCTTAGAATATTTGTTGTTCCTTTGGGCATTAACTCTCATCTTCTCTGAATAATTCAAATCTGTTTTAACTGCGGGATTATCAATGAGGCAACTCTCTTGAGAAATACTCCCTAAGTTGAGTCTCACATTTTTATTCCAATTAAAATAATTGGCTTTATTTAACTTTTCATTCTTAATTTTAGCTACTGATGGAACCAAACTTATCACAACATTTTTCTGTTCCATAGTCACGAGTATTATCGAATATTCAAAAGGACTGAAACAACTGATCAAAATGATGCTGGAAAAATAATTAGTCGAATCACGCTTATGGATGGACTCCTTAACACGATGGCACACGACGACACAGACAAGGTGTTTAACAGAAACGCAGTAGAAGCTCTGGTCGATCTTGATCATCTAGGAGATAGAAGCACAATCCCTCCCCTTATGGCAACAAAAGACGAAGCTGACGAACGGCTTTCGGACGAAGAAGCTGAAAACAAAGTCAAAGGTAGACGAGATGATGCAAACCTTGTCACTTTCTGTTGGAAGCTGAAGACAAAGTAAAAGCAGATAAAGCAATGCAAACCCAATTTCTTCCTAGCTAAGTCATAATAGAACAATGAGCTTCTAGATGACGATGAAGTTGACATTCGTATGTTCATTTCCTAATCCCATTGACTTTGACGAGCAACTCAGATAAAGCCCATGAGTTATCTAGACTAGCAATTGAAACCACGTGATGCTGACGAACAATTCCAACTGCAGAGATGACACTATGATCCAAACAAGGAAGACGAGCCATCCAAACGGCAATTCATATCACGTAGACTATGCTAACGAACGATTCAAATGACAGACATGAGGCTCTGATACCATGTAACGGGGAAAACTTTATTTCTTCTTATGTCACTATTGATATGTTATATATTTATATACACTTATATCTTTATAGATTAAGAATATCTCTAATATAGAAAAGATTTACTTAAGATTTTCTCCTTTTTTTATAATAATCCATTTTGGCATTTGAATATTTCCAATTGTTCTTAAGAGCAAAAATATCCCTGTTTTTGATAAATTTATTTTTATTACTTACCATGTCTAACGGTTGTGATAAGATGGTTATTTTACTTCATATTTACTTCCGATCTTTTATTTTTCTTATAAAATTTTTAGATTCACTTGAGGCCTTATTAACTTTACAACTTTTCCGAGTTTTATCGTGAAACACTAAAAAAATTTATTTCACCTTTTGCAGAATTGGGCTTCAAGTTCTCTTGTTCCTCAAATGAAAGAGCTTGCAGAGAGAAGAAAATTGGAAGATTTAACAATAGGACCTGTTCTTACAGTAAGCCCCTCTATCTGATTCCTCAAAGCTAAAAGTAATGCTAACTGTTTGATTTCAGGAATACTGTATATATTGTTTGATTTCAGGAATGCTGCATATACTTATCTATCATTTAAAAAAAACGAGAATATCTTTAAATTCAAAAATTCATATCGCCCTAAGTATCTTATAGATTTACCATAAAGATTTTGGTAAGTGGAGCTTCATGTACTAAATTATTTTCACGGCAACTGAGAATAACTTCTAAGGCATTGATTAGCGAGATTTCTTCGAAGCAAGAGAATAAGAGACAAGTTTGAAATTTTTTTTCAGGTTTTTATTAGATTTTTACTTTGCTGCATTGTATATTGGTTAGTATGTAAATTACATTTTCCATTTTGTAAAATGGTACCTCTACCTTATGCGGAGCACAAGTAAGAAATGTGTAAGATCAATGTAACCAAAATATCTTTGGTATGGTCAATTGAAGTAAATTCCTGAAGGTTGATGTTGCTCTGACTGCTATTTAGCTTATCTTCCACAGGTTACAACAGATCGAATGGTGGAACACATTGAGAAGTTACTTGAAATACCAGGATCAAAGTTATTTTTTGGAGGCCAGCCCTTGGAGAATCATTCTATTCCAAAAATCTATGGTGCTTTGAAACCAACTGCCATTTTTATTCCTATTGATGAGATTCTTAAGGATAAGAATTACGAGCTAGTTACAACAGAGCTTTTTGGCCCATTTCAGGTAATACAAAGAATCTATACTCTGTAGAAGCTGAGCTTGCTACCATATTATCGCTTTCAATTGTTCATAATATATCTCTGGCATACTTAGTCAATGGAAGACTAGTTTCAGCTCTCTGGTCAAGTTCTTATTTGTTGGAAGCTCTTGTCCTGATAACCATGTCGAGTTTCAAGGAAAGCTTTTCTTTTTTTTTTGGAAAGTTTGCATACATACCACAATTTTTATTTATTTACATATCTAACACCCAAAGTTTGATATTTACACTTATAACAACTCGGTGTCATAAACGCATGAACAGATGTAAACTCCACTTTTAAAAGATAGTGATGGTGATAATTTTGATATGATGTTAAAGATTTGAGTGGTATGCATGTAAATGTGAATGTTTAGGTGTTAGATATTTTAGGTGTTAGATATAGATATGTAAATACATAAGAATTGTGTGGTATGTATGCAAATACCTCTTTTGTTTTCTAGGCTTGTCTTAGTGCAGTCATGGTTGGTCAAGGCCCTTAGGATTGTACATACCTTGTCCCATGACACATGCTGGACTGCCATAGAACGCTTAGTGCCAAATTCTTTACATTATAGTTGCATACCTTTTTTTTTGTTCATTTGGTTTTGTCTAGTTTTTGTAGATTGAGAATCAAATCATGTGGCAGCCAATCCATCTAAAGTGTGTATGTGTTCATGCTGGGTAGAGGAGAGAATGCCATGCAACGGCTAAATGGAAAACTAAGATATCCACTGTGATCATTTGTTTTTTTAATTAATTATTTATTTTTACATTTGGATAATGTAACATAAGTGCAGAAAAAGAAATACAAATAGGAGCTCAAGCTTTCTCATTCATTAAAGATGAAAAGGTTCAGAATTTTATAGTTCAATCATGGTTGTATCAGATGATGTAATATATATTAAATTTTTTTTAATATAATTTAAATTATATAATAGTGACACAATAATGATATTTCATCAATTCAATATGCACTATTTTAATTTAGGATGTCCACTTTTGATGGTTTTAAATATGGTTCTAAACCTAAATTATTGGACATTAATTTAATTATTTCCTCTATTTTTTTATAGAAATCTTTTATTCTAGTTATTCGATCAAAATCAAAACCTAAAAATTGATCAATATTAGAAATGACCAGGTCATCCAAAACCGGTGATACCGGACGAAACCCAAACCACAATGGAAACACATTCTCTGAATTCCAAATGAATTACAAACATGACACTTAAAAAGCAGGAAGTAACAACAAACAAAAATGAACAACATGGACAAGGAAAAATATCCGTGGCTGACAACGAGGATGGAGGCCGTTGGCAGTGGGTTGGCGGTTGATGGAAGATGGTTGAGGCTGAGGGGAGGCGGCAAGAGGGAATGGTGTCTGCTGGGAGATGTCTGCGGTTGCTGGAAGAGGCCTGGATGGTGGCAGGCAGCTGTAGGAGAAGGGCTGCGGTTGCTGGAAGTGGGTTGGAAGGTGGGGAGGGGTTGTGGTTGTTGGAAGAGAGTTGTGGGCCGGATGATAGCAGGAAACAGTATACTTGAAGGGTTGGACAGCAGCTATAACATGTGTCGGTGGCTGGGCAGCAGCAGGAGGTAGTCTAGACAGCAGCCGGATGGCTGCGCAGCAGCAAAAGGTAGTCTAGACAGCAGCCGGATGCCTGGGGAGCACTCGTAAGAGGGTGACGTGGGCTGGACAGCAATCGGAAGGGGGATGGCGTGGTCTGGACAACAGTCAGAAGGTGGTTTACGGCTGTTGGAAATGGGGCCAGAGGGGTTGCAGAAGAATAAATGTCTCGTTGGTGTCAAGCTACAGTCGGAGCACCACCCGGACTGTTGGAAATGATCACCACCTCAAACTAGATATAGCTAGAGCACCTTCTTGTTGTCGGCTATAGCCCCCACGGGGAAGAACGCCCCGAAGGCAACACTCATAAATGTGCACTCATAAAATCCTCCAATCAACACACAATGTTTATAAAAAAGATGGGAGTAGAGACTAGACTAGGTAAGTAAAGAAAATAAGCAAGGATTCAAGAAGAGTGGATAGGAAAGACAGGAGTTGGAAATGCAATACTATTATGAAAGGAGGGACTGATTAAAAAGGGGAAATTAGAATAGGAGAATTAGGAAAGGGAATTAAACCTAAAAGTGAACCGCGGTTACTGTAACAGCTACAGTAATGCGACCACTGTACTGTATCTGCTACAGTACCATGGCCAGTAAGCTCCCACGATCATCATATATATGGCTTTGAGGGAATAGTTTTATTATCTTGAGTTTGTTTCTTTTCCAGGCCTTTGCTTGTTGTTCGCGGTTTTGCTATGCAACAAACTTAACCCGTTTATCCTCGGGTACCTCCTTGTAATCAAAGATGCGTTCGATCGCTTGCAACTAGTTGGTCCATGGCTTTCGTCGAATTCCTATAGGCCTGTTTTGATGCTGAAATCCTGGTAGATGTTGAACATGGGTTTCTATCGTGGCCTCCTATAATAGTGAATGCCAAAGCGACATGGGCGATATTCATCATCATTGATGTCATCGCGGTGAAATGAATTTAGGTCGCCGTCGCGGTCTCCTCTTCGACTCTTGATGTCACGGTCGAGGGTAATGTCGCCCTGAGTTCCGTTGTCCATCTCGGCCAATTGTTGTTGCAAGCGACAAATCTATCAATGTATTTCTTTCCGGGTTGGGTCCGACGCATATCGGCGTGGTGACATGATCAGAAGTGTTTTGGAAATGAGTCGAGAGATTAAAGGAGAAAACAAGATAAGAAGGGAAAAGAAGGAAGAGGAAATGAAGAGATGGAAGGGAAAAAAATTTTGGGTGGCTTGGGTCGATGTTAGCATGGATTTTGTCATAGGTTTACGACACAAAATAATGACTCTGTCATGACCGTAGTTGACCGTTTCTTATAGATGACACATTTCGTCGTCTGCCACCACACGTTAGATGCATCTCATATTGTCGATTTATACTTCCGCGACATTGTTCAGCTTCATGGCATTCCCAGGACCATTACTTCCGATCGGGACATTAAATTCTTGAGCTACCTCTGGCAGACCCTCTGGGGCAAATTAAACACTTAACTCCAATTTAGCTCTACAACATATCCTCAGACGGATAGGCGGACCAAACTATTTAATAGGAGCTTTGAGAATCTTCTTCGATGCGTTGTTGGGAAAACATCAAACAATGGGATCTCATTCTCACTCAAGCCGAATTTGCCTCCAATGGATCAACAAGCCAGACTACAGGACACACACCATTTGAAATTGTGTACGGCAGCAACCCAATCACACCCCTTGAGTTTGTTCCACTTCTATGCCCAACAGATATCAACGAGGATGTTACTGAACGTGCTTACCAAATTCAACAACTCCACAAGGAAGTTGGTGAAATAATTTCTAAACAAAATCACAAATATCAAGCACATGGCAACAAATCCAGGAGAAAAGGTAACCTTTAAAGGAGGCCTTGTATGGATCCACCTTAAGAAAGAGCCATTTCATGTGAGAGCACACGGGAAACTCAAACTCAAAGTCGACGGACCTTTCTGCATACTTAAAAGGCTAAATGACAATGCCTACAAAATTGATCTACCGGGTCACGCCAAAATTTGGGCTACATTCAATGCAGTGGATCTCACTCCATACTATGAGGACCCAGAAGCTTCAACAACTGATGTCAAAGCTCCCTCAACTCTGAGAGCGTAGCCCGTGGGCCGAACAAAACACAGAGTTAGTTCAGACCTTCCCCTGGACCGGACCGGTCCACTGTATCATAATGTGCTTGATTCATTCGCTCTGCCTCGAGTCATTCACTTCGCTTTCCTCCTCCCCCATGCTCTATTCTTCTGCCTTCGCTCCTCGCTGTTGCAATCCTTCCATTTTTTACCTTCCTTTTTAAAATCTTGCCTTTGCTGTCTTCCCTTCCCCCCTATTTATGCTTGTTATTTTCTTAGCTTTAACAAGTGTTTTTCTTTGTGATTTCTGATTCTAGATCTGCCTCTATGGCGCTCCCTGTTCCCAGAGTTGAATCCTGTGTCAGGTGGTGCTTCGGTTGTACCCCACCGAGGTGGTAACTACCTCCCCACTTTACCATGTTCCCAACTACCTTGCAGCACTGCTCCTCCAGTGTTTATCCTGCCGGTCTCCTCCCACCAGTTGCTAGTCCCGCAGGTTCTCCACAACAACCACTGATTCACTCCCGTCAGCCCCTACTGAACCACCCCGCTTCCACCAGCAGGCTGCCAACCCTTTGAAGTCCTCCCTGTGACCATCACACCACCTGACCACACCTCCTCACCAGCCGGTCCTCCCTTGCGATCTTCTCTAGCATATCGCTCCGCCTTCCAGGGTTCCCTTGCCTCTCGTCCACTGCTACCCACCTCACATCGCTTCCAGCGAGTCTTCAGCTTCCTTTCCTCACTATCACACCGGATCCGCCACCATACAGGACTGTTTCTGCTCATGCTTAGTCCAATTCTGCATTTGCAATTTCATTTACCATGTGTTATCCCATTTGTCATTTATGTGTTATATCTTTTACTGTTTATGTGTTATTGTTGTAAGGATTCGTCATTGTATTCGTTTTTAAATACAAAAAAAATTTGTCTGGTGTCATAGTCGTGGTTTGGGTTAACTCCGGTATCAACCGGATTATTCAATTTTGTGCAGAAGTGGTTTCACACATATACCGAATTAGTTGGGGGACCGGCTAGTCAGATTGAATGATTAAAATAATGAAATATTATTGCTAGCGTTTTTGTTACTTGCTACATGTTAGAAATGTTACCTTGTATCAACAACCATGCAATGACTCTGTGAGGCTGTATTATTTTATAGGTGATTCTAATATTACTTCCAATAACAGATTATCACGCAATACAAGCAGGACCAGCTAACACTTGTGTTGGAGGCTTGTGAAAGGATGCATGCGCATTTGACAGCTGCCGTTGTTTCTAACGATCCGCTTTTCTTACAGGTATGATTTATAGCGAGAAAAATATCAAAATGATCTCTTGATTCTTTGTAGGGGTTCCTTTTAGTCCCAGAGTATATAAAAATGTCAATTTAGTCTCCCCTCTAATGTGGCCTAAAAATACTCATTATTAGATTCAATTTCAGCCTATATTAGAAAAGTGCGGGGACTAATTTGACATGTTAATATACTTTGGACTAAAATGACCCTATGTAAATGGTTTTAGGGCTTTTTTGCCACTTGATTTTTAAGTTTGTCATTTTTATTTAAAAATTTTAACCATTGATCTCATAAGGCTCTGTTATCATGCTAATGGTAGGTAGTTTGGATTTTTATTTAGAATTGCCTCTGTAGTACATTTTTCGTTTTTAAACGTCCATGATGAAAATGATCGTTTTCTGAGAATTTGGTCAAGTATCGCATGCTATGAGAAACATACATTTCTTTAAAGGCCTGTCTGAGAGGCACAATAATTTAATATGACTGGATTATGATTTCCTGTTGTCATGCTAATATGAATCGGGATTAATAGGAAGATTTACATGCATATCACTCAATTCCTATAGGTTTACATTTCTAACATTTAAACTTCAATTTTTACATACATACCACCTAATCTATGCATGAGAAGGTGTCATTTTTTAAAAGTTAAAATGGTGATATTGTTGGTATGATATGAAAGGCTTGGTTGCTTCAAATGTAAAAAAGCAAAATTTACGTGTTAGATATGTAAATTCTTAAGAATTGAGTGGTAAGTAAATGCCTTTAATTATTATGGTGCTTAGTATGAAAAATTGAGGATTCATATGTAATTAGCTAATAATCATTCTAACAATTCACTTTCTTTTAATGAAAACATTAACAGTTGCACGAAAATCAATAGAACCAAACTAGCCAATAACATATCATGTAGAAGAAAGAAAGAAAAAAGGAAGAAAAAGAAAACCGACTTAAAGAAAATTTGGCTTTGTTACAAGAAGATGACTTCCCTCTGAATCACTTAATTGTATTTGTATTGCATTCAAAGGAATTTTGTATCTAAACTCAAAGATTTAAAATTTAGATGATATATTTCATTCAAAGTAAAAGTTGTAAATTATTTGCCTCGGACAATTGTTTATAGACTCCTCATAGTCCAAGTTAAGTTGAGAATGGTACAGGACCAATCTTAATCTATTCTAACAATGCCTATCCACAATAGAAAGGTTCCATTCCCTTCCTACCATGCAGGATACGAAACAATTCACGTGAATTACATTTTTTATTAACAAATTAATAGAAAGATTTACATACGTACCACATAATTCCTATGTATTTACATATCTAACACATAAATTTTAATTTTTCTTATATACCGCCTTTGATATGCAAAAAATTTTTGTATTTCACAATTACAAGTTAAAGTTATATTTTTGATGTGATATGAATGATTTGGGCGGTATAAATGTAAAACATATAAATAATAAATGCATAATATTTGGGTGGTATGCCCCAAATAATTAAATGCCAAGAAGCACTGCATTATGCAGAGCGTGACAAGAACATAACATAAATGCCAAGAATCTTGTTTTGGTAGACAAATTGTCTATGTTATTTTAGTTGCACTTCTAAAATGGACAGTAGTACTTGCTTATAGTAGTGCAGTATGGTAGGGCTTTTAACGATTGTTCGAGTTAAACAATTTGGTCTTATTTTGTTCTAATCCAAGCCTGCTATACGTTGGTTGAATCCAATCTCCATAGGAGCCTGTCCTAAGCATTAAATTTAATCCGGAAAACATTATATATTTAATCCTGCAAACATATGTGCTTATATACATGTCTAGTGTCATGCATAAAAGCTTGATTATAAATAAGGGAAAGTTACATACATACTACAGTTCTAATGTATTTGCATATTTAATGCCTAAGCTTTGATATTACTTTTATAGAACTTCAGTGTCATAATCATATCAAAACATATGCATGAAAATGTTTATTTCACTTAAAAGCTAATAATATTGCTATTTTTGATTGGTGTTAAAATTTGAGTGTTATATATGTAACTATTGGAATTTACGTGTTAGATAAGTAAATATATATAAATTGTCGTGTATTTATTTAAATCGCCCAAATGAATAAATCGCCTTATGTTTCTCTTGCCCTTTTTAATATTGGGCAAGACAAGAGGAGCACCTTAGCATTTTTTTACAAAAAAATCTTAAGGCTTACGCCTTATTGTCTCATGGTATGCCTCACCTTGGATGAGGTGCACTTCACCTTGCAAGTTGTCTCAAATTTTTGAGGTTGTATGCAGTCTTTTTCAACAAAGAGCCAAAAGTAATATCAATATATCTCATTGGTTCACATGCTAAGTAAAATGAAATAAATGAAAATATATCCATAAGAGTTTATATAGTTAAAAGTTGTAACTGTCAATATAGTTTATTTTTATTGACTATTATTCATTTGGAAAAAAAAATAATTGAGATTATAAATGAAGAGGAATGAGAGAATATTGATATGATTGAGGATAAGGTGAGATCAACAATTCTTATGAAAATCCTTTGGGAGATGAGTAACTTTTGAATTTAAAAGTTTAAATGTTGATGGCTTGTATTATTACTTAAGTGGGTGGTAGCACGAGTGACAGACAAAGACTTGTGTCAAACTTATTTTATTTGTTATATTGTGATGTTTTAGTATTTAATTTTGATATCTTAGCGTTCTTTGATACTTTAATATTTATATGGCCTGTCATACTTTATTATTTGTAGTTAGTATATTAACATGTTATTTCTTACTGTGTAATTTATTACTCTTTATTTAGTTAGAATGTTATTATGTTACTTTTTAAATTTGTTAATATTTTAGAATATTAATATGTTTTTTATTAATTCACGCTTTGAATTTTATACAATAGTTGTTATTTTACATAATTTCTTGAATTTAATGCCTATGCCTTGAACTCCTTAAGGCTTATGCCACACCTCACAGACGAAAAATGCATCAATACTCAATTGTGCAATTTTTAAGTCTTCCCGTTGCCATGAATCTTCCTTGCAGGAAGTTCTTGGAAAGTCCATTAACGGGACGACATACGCCGGCATCAGGGCTCGAACAACCGGCGCTCCTCAGAACCATTGGTATGGCAAATATATGCTCCACAAAGGCTCTATTTCCGGGAAATTTAAATACATAACACAATTCTTTTGTATTTACATGTCTCACACCTTAACTTTCATATTTTTATACAACAGTACTTTGGTGTTTTAACCCTATGCATGAAAATGTGTATTTCACTTTTAAAAAGTGATAATAATATATTGTTGATGTGATATTAAAAATTTGAGTGCTATGTGTATAAATATGAATGTTTGGGTCTGAAAGTTGTAAATACATAAGAATTGTGTGCTATGTACGTAAATGCATCTCTCTTAAAAAGTTGAATCCCAAAATGATCCTCCAACTATTTATATGTAATCGATTTAGTCCACGAGTTTTGTAATTACTCTAATTTAGTCCCTCAAGTATTAAAAATTAATCAAAATAATCTCAACTTACTTCATTGACTACAAAAAAAAAGGGCCAATTGACATCAATTTTAAATAGATGGGGGACTAAATCTGAACACTACAAAATTTGGAAGTATTTTGCCAAAATTTGAATTGTGGGGAACCATTTTGAGATTTAACAACCCTTTTCTATCCAGAATCAGCATATTAACTGGGTACAACCTTGTTCCAGGTTTGGACCAGCTGGTGATCCAAGAGGTGCAGGAATAGGAACACCTGAAGCAATCAAGCTGGTCTGGTCTTGCCACAGAGAAATCATATATGATATTGGACCAGTGCCTCACCAATGGAAAATTCCACCTTCTACTTAGAATAAATCTGACTGGCAAGTGGATTTATTCAAAGGGAAATTTACATACCTAGCTCGCAATTCTTCCTAAACTTTCATATTTACATACCTAGCACTTCGCTGCTTTATACCTTGTGCTTGAAAACTTTCATATTTACCTATCTCACACCTGAACTTTCATAATTACAAATATCATATGAAAAGTAACACTCATTATCTCTTTCCATCCTTTGGTAAAGTTTTTTTTTTGTGTAAAAATGAAAGTTTAGGTGTGAGATAGGTAAATTTGTAAGAATTGGGTGCTATGTATGTAATTTTGTCTTTAAAGATTTGAGGGTTATGTGCCTAAATGAAAGTTTAGGTGTGAGTTATGCAAATAAATGCCCCTTATTCAAATTTCTTTTGGTGAATGGCTTTTTCTGGATTTGTGAGTTAATTTTTAATAAGTTTCTGTATTGATTACGAGTAAAACTGCATCTGCCATTCACATTCAATTTGATAAACAATTGTAATGAGCACATTGTTGTTTAGAATTGGAGAGAAGTTTGTTGGGCATCTCAAAATTTGTTGATGCTAGTTTTCATTTATTTGAGCATCAAATTCTTGCAACCACACGTAATAATTTTTCATCTAGAGCGCTTATTGCGTACGGACATCACATGCAAATTTGTGTGCAGTGTCCGATCTGGACCACTGAAATCCCTCTTTGTTTTTTTTGTTAGAATGGGGCCCATTCTAAATTTTTTGACGGTGCAGATCAGACAATGCACGCAAATTTTGCTTGCGGTGTCCGCACGTACTAATTTTTCATCTATTTGTATCTTAGGGGGATATTTACATATATACCATCCAATTCCTATGTATTTACATATATAACACTTGAATTTCAATTTTTTGACATACGTACTAGTGTGTGTGTGCATGAAAATGTGAATTTCACTTTTCAAAAATTAAAATGATGGTTTATTTGATGTGATATGAAAGATTTTGGTCATATAAATGTACGAAGTAAAATTTATCATTTTATTAAAATTGAAAGGTAAGATCCTGCATGTAAGACGTATGCAGCGCTGCGTACGTAAGTGAGGTTATTCAGAGGGTTATATTCGCGTTATACCCTCTGTAACATTCCTGTAACCATCTGTAACCTACATGTAACCTAGAAATATATGAAAATAGAAGCTCAAAATTTATTAGAAGTTACAAGTAGGTTACAGGTAAATTACATGGATGTTACAGGGGTATAAAGCTGATATAACCCCCTAATAGCATCAGCAGATGTCTTATTTACGCAAATATTTCTCTTATATTTGAGTGTTTTTTTTGCATGCGGAATATTTTTTTCATTGGTTTATCTAAATAAAAATTGAAAATAGCTTCAATTTAGATATAATTTTTTAGAGAAGTTTCATACTACTCTGCTGAGCCTTTATCAATCACTTTGGGCTTTGTTTATATCATAACATTTAAGAGGTTCTAAATTTTATATTTTACACCATTTTATTAACAGGTTTACAAAACATTCCTTAATTTTATGGCATAAAAATCAGCACAAATAAAAATTTTTCATTAATTTCATATTATATAGTTTCATAAAGCATTTTTTAATTTCTATTTTTGCCTTACGACTATAATTAGTAATTTAATCATTTTTTTTCATCTTTATTGAATAAAATTTAATATCATAAGTTTTCTTCGTATCCTTAAGAATATTTCCCAACTAATTCCACATTTTAACAGGGGTTTTTGTGCAAATTCAAAAATTGTGATGAGCCCAAGAGACAAAATAATGCCATCTAATAAGGATTAAATCAGTTGTAAGACTTGATAGAATATCCCTCTAATGATGATTAATCGTGCTAAAGGTAGGGCTGTTAAAACGGTTAGTTGTTCGGGAACAGCTAGTGTTCGGCTCGTCCGTTAAGTTAATGAGCCGAACAAAAAGAAAAATTTGTTCGTTAGTGTTCGACTCAAAATACTACTCATCGACACCCACCCACCCCCTCACACGCACATGTATTAATGAGTGGTATTTTTAAAAAAAATGGTGGACTACAAGGCTACAAAGATTTCTAATCAATTACAAGTATTAATTAAAAAAATAGATTTAGATTTGATGTTTTAATATAAACAATAATTTTTAAATCATGTCGCAATCTTTAATATCTTATGACTACGTAATTAGGGTTGTTCGTGAACAACTTGTTTTCGACTTGCTAAGCAAACAAGCCGAACACGAATACACTTTTTTAGCTCGAAATATAAACAAGCCGAACACGAGCTGATCCTGAGCTCGATCGTATTCGGTTTGTTTACACCCCTAGATACAGGTGAATAAAATTTAAATTTACCCCTCTACCGCTTTCATCCATAAACTAAAAAAAATAAAAAAAATAAAAATAAAAAAAGCATTTACATACATACCACACAATTCTCATATACTTAAATATCTAACATCCAAACTTTCATATTTAAATATATGCCACTTAAATTTTGGACATTACATTAAGAATATCACTATAACCATCTTTTTTTTAAGAAAAATAAAATTCACACTTTCATGCATAAATTTTAACACCGAAAGTGTTATATTTAAATATAAATATGACACGAGTTAGACATGTAAATCAATATATATATATATATATTTGTGCAATTACATTTAGACCACCCAAAACTTGCTATTTCCAAATCAACCACCCTATTTCATCCGATTTTCAATTTCTCCCTCAAACATCAAAATTCATGGTAAAAACTCAACCCATATTTTCATGTTTCATCAATTTCTCAATAGTTTGATCGTGACACGCATAAATACACAGAATCGACAGCTCAAAAAAATCACATGGGTGATTAATTTATAAATTTCAATATTTTGAGTGGTCCTTATGCAATTATCCCTTTCTATTTTCCTTTACCCAGCCCCCAAATGCTCATTGCAGATATAAGCTATGATAATTAAATATATAAAACCAAAATTATATTCATATCATGTTGTGCTATAATTTGGGGTAATTGTATGTACAAAAAATAAAAATAAAAAAAATAAATGCAAATGAAAATTCGGTATGATCATTTGGGTGAGAGAAATTGAACCCGAGCAAGATTGTATTCCTTTCCAGCTATCCAAACAGCAGCCTGCGACCATTGGATGTCTTCCCACTCCAAGTTCTCTTCCATTACCTACAAAGAACCCAAAAATATTCAACATAATAAATAAATAAAGCAGGATTTACATAAATACCACACCATTTTTATTTATTTACATATTTAACACCTAAACTTTCATATTTATAAGCATAGCATCGCAAGCACCGCTATGATTAACTTTTAAAAATAAAATACATCTTTTTTACTTTGCATGGGTTTATGAAACCAAAGTGTTGTGAATATACATACATCAAATTTTAGGTGATAGATATGTAAATACATAAGAATTGTGTGGCATGTATGTAAATCACCCATAACATCAAAAGCTCAAAAGAATCCACCTACATTAATCTCAATCATGCATCAAAGGAATGACAAAAGAGTATGATAAGAAATAAATTATTATATTTAATTCTTGCAATTATTTGGAATTCCATTGAGTTTCCAATATATTGCATTTACTTCTAGAAAGTAGTTGGAATTAGTAAGTATAATGAACACTATCAATGTATGTTAAGTATTGCAATCATTCATACAATGTGCATGATTTGAAGGAGCAAAACTTGCAATAGTTGGTTACCCAATCAATGAAAATAAAATTGTTATTATTCTCTCAAATTCATATTCATTATAGTATCGAAGTGTTGATCCAAAATCGCTCCCTCCCACTTAGCTGCCCTCGCGCGAGCCACCAACCCTTCTTGCGAAGAAGCTTGTCCCATCCCCGACCAATTTTTCCTTCAAAATTGATCTCCACAACAATTATTCCTACAACATCAAAAAACTCTTTTAGCAAGAACGAAACACGATCTATTCTCACAAACATCACTACATCTATATATCCCTCCATAATCGATCTTTATTCAACATATCAACCCCAGCACCATTTAAACAATCTCTGCCAATTATCGCTAACGGCAAAATCCAAGTTCATGGTTGTCATCCAAAGTCTCTTTGACTTTGTTGATGAAAGCATATCAATGGATACTACACGGTCAACACATTCTCAATTGAATCATTTGGTTGCACCATGTATAGTTCCCTTCATTCCTCGTATTTAGTTATCTCAATAAGTGTGGAGAATTCTATCCACGATTTATGCAAACCCCGTTGTGTGTTGATATCTACAACTCAAAAATTATCTCGAAATCATCACCAAAGGCTCTAGTTTAGCACTTTTAAATTCATTATGGAAATCATGATCGAAGTCGATGAACTTGCCATCATAGGTAAACTCATGAAAATGAAATACATTGTTGAAAAGATAAATTATAGTCATGGCAATTTAAGTACTTCAACTAAACCTATATTTTGATGAGCTACATGAAAATTTGATCATCTTTGGCTCTATTACAGTCACGAATAAGAGGAGACTACCCAACTCTGATCAGGAACAACCCAACTAAAACCAACATGGCCAACCCAAAATGTTAGTTTAGACTTCAAAACTTCGGCTCCCTATACTTCCTATACCAAATCCTTTGTACGATCTTGAAACTCATGCCACCTCACAACACCATCAAAGCTGTAGGCACGCCTCCCACCATCCCATGCCTTCGATACTATCAATTTTTTTATGTTCAAAGCCGGACAGCTAAATGTTGTCCTACATGCCAATCGTCTCTTCAACAAGGCAAACTCCAACCCTAAACCCTAAACCCTAAACCCTAAACCCTAAACCCTAAACATCATTATCTATGTCCTTATTGTAATAATTGTACTTCAACGAAAATTCATGAACTCACTTTCTCATTTTTAATATTGTGTCTACGTCCCAACCTAGAATTAAATTTAATGATATATGCAATTCTCTAGTAATTTCTGATGAATTCAAAACCATGCAATATATGCAGACTATTTCACCAAAAACATACAGCTTTATCCCATCAAAAGAAAATATGATTTCTTGTTGTCTTCCCTCATTTTCATCAACTAGTACAAATAAAATTTACCAACTCGTTACACTTCTGATCACCCCTAAACACAATGTTGTTCTGAATGTTGTCACCATCATTTTATTGAGATTGATCCCTCCTTGCTCTCCCATGAATCACTTCCCATATTGGATCATGACTTTCTTGCAAGTTGCAACCACCTATCAAATCAATTGAATGTCTGTTTGATTACCTTCTCAATTACCAATAACTTCTGGATTTTCGGCATCTACACTAGCCTTGGCTACAACCTTATAAATCTCATAAAATTAACCCCACTCCATCCCATCCTTCTAGAATATTCTTTAATCAAAGTGCAAATATCTATCGTGATCCTGTCACACACAATATGTCATTATGTTTGGTTTCAAAGTTCCTCCTACAACAAAGTCGATCGAGTCCTAGATTAATCATATTCAATTGTGTTCTTCATCCTTGTATCGCCACACTTGACACTATCATTGACTCCCTCCCTGCCATTACCAAACTCGAAATTCATTGGAAATCGACTCCATTGCAACCAACCATTAACCACCAATAAATTGTGCAAACCACAATTTGTTCACAAAAAGCTACCAACTATCATTAACCATTTAATTGAACCACTCCACCAGTTAAGCCAAACTCCATAACTAAAAAAAAACCCATCTAATCATGGCCTTAACACCAATAAACTCGTTCCCAACATCTAATTAGCAAGACCCAAAAATAACACTAGCTCCTCACATCAAACCCAATTCTACCTTCTGATACACCTTCCAATACCCATAGAAAAGCTATCATGAGAAAACTAGCGTCTTCAAAACCATTGATAAACTATCGCTCCAAGCTCACCTTCAAACAAAAAATTGACCTTGACAAAAACCCAAAACAACAAAGATCTACAGTGGCATCAATCCATGTCCAAAGAGCTTCATGTCTAAGCAGCACAGGCAAGTTGGATTCAATTTCATTCAATTCATCACAAAATCTTATTGGTTGTAAATTGATTGTTTACACTAAACGCCTCTATGATGGGCTAATATTAAAATGTTCAAAACATGCCTCCTTGCTAAGGGCTTTCAACAATGCCCCAACATAGAATACTAACACACATTCAACCCCATAGGGAAACATGCCACACTTAGCCTTATTCTCAACATCGTCATCAATAAAAATTAGTCTTCACCAACTAGTCAACAATGCCTCCCTCCAGCACACTTAATTGACAATGTGTATATGGCCCAATCCCCATTGTTTATTAGCAAGGAGGCATATTTATCTGCAAACTCAAAAAGGCTCTAAAAAATTTTAAAAAAGGGCATTTACATACAAACCACCCAATTCTTATGTATTTACATATCTAACAACCACACTTCACTTTTTACATTTATGCTCATAGACAATATTTGAGTATTGCTCACTTAACATCGACCTTAGCCGAGCTCACTTGGTTTATCTTCATGTACACTTCCTCAATAAAATGCAGAAAAGTAAAATCTACATGACCACACAATCTACACTCCAAATAGGCATAGCTCACCTCAAAAAGTTGGAGCACTTAAGATTTTGCATATATCTACATTATAACTACATTTGATTTATAAAAAAGAAAAACCTTCAAATAATAAGAAATACCACAAGATGCTAAATAAGTAATGACATGTAAAATAAGTAGTCTTACAACAAGATACTCGGTGGGTAATGGGATGCCAATGGACCGCATCATGTTTTCAGGAAGAGCTTTTTTACAACGCGACCAACGAAACATGTCTACTATATTTTTTCCATCAATTTCATTCCAATCACATGCTTGAACAGGTGAGTTGTGACACTGATGCTTTTCGTGAAATTCTCGAGTTTGTAATGATGCGGATGCGTTGTTAAGGCAGGCCTTCTCCCCATTGAAGCAGAGCTCATACCTGCGACGGAAACAAACAAACGAAAAACAAACAACTTGAAAACATAGCAAAGAATATTGTTAATATGAAGGATATAGTTTGTCATATTCAATAACTTCATTATTTTACTTTATTGAAAATGCAGATTCACTGGTCACATCAGGGCATATCTTTCTAGTTCCCTACTCATTTATTTATAAAAATTTACTTACGTAGCATATCAATTCTTATGCATTTACATATTTTACACCTAAACTTTTATATTTACATACAAAGCACTTGGTGCTTTAAATGTATGCATGAAAAGGCATATTTCAGTTTTAAAAAGAGGTAAAAGTGATATAATTTTGATGTGATGTTAAAGATTTGAGTGCCATGTGTCTAAATATGAAAGCCTAGGCGTGAGATATGTAAATACAATAGAATTGTGGCAATGTATATAAATGCCGCTTAATTTATTTTTCTAGTTTCCTACTTGATGCAGAAAATATGCATGCTTTTGAAGATATTCCAATGGCACACAGATGAGCACAAGCTAACTGCAGATAACTGCATTTTGTCATTTAAGGTGCTGAGGAAATCTAAAGTAAATATAAAACCCTAAAACTATTGTACTTTTCCTAAAAAGATTTTAAATAAAAAAGAAAAAGGTACCATTTTGCCTTATTATCAAACTAATGCTACCCAAAGGAAGAAGTACCTGAGTTGAGTAAGATAATGAATAAGCGGCAGAAGTTTACAAGTCAAATCCAGGGATGGAAACCAATCACACAAATCTTACAAAGACCGACAAAATGTGCACATGGTAGAACTCAAAGCTAAGACCAACAATGCAAAACAGAAAACTTAAAATTCAAAGCTATGAAATGCTCAAAAAGAATATTTCGGCAATACAAAGAAAAAAATGAGTAAAGTGTCAAAATAGTCCCCAAAATATTTACATGGGGTCATTTTAGTCCCAGAGTTTATAAAAGTGCTAAATTAGTTCGCAGACTATTTTAATGGGGGCTAAAATAGTCCTCACTAGAGACTATTTCAACCAATATTAAAAGAGTCCTAGAAATTGACACTTTTATAAAGTTTGAGACTAAAACGAGCTTGTAAAGAGTCAGAAGATCATTTTAACATTTTTCTTGAAAGAAAATTGTAGCTAACAAAAAGCTAGCATAACATCCAACAGAGAGCTAATTAACAATTTCAACAGTTACTTAAGAGCAAAATTTTCTCATATACAATATAATTTCATTCATCCTGATTGGTGTCACATTTGCCAAAAAATTAGCAAAAACTTGGTTACAACACCTGATATAGAAATTGATTCGGTAAAATATTGATAAAGCATCTAATAAACCCTTTGAAAAAATTAATGGAGGTTGGAATGAGCGACAAATTCAATCAATAAATAATCACCCTATCTATGCTGCGCACAATTTAAACAATTTTCATACCTGTTAAATTGTGTTTCCAAGTACAGCACCTCTCCTTTCTTCAGTCTCGCTGATGTGTAAAGAGGCTTTCTCATTCCCCTATCGGCAACAATGCTAACACTGTATTTGATCCTGAAGTAATTAGCATTTGGAGAAGAGTCAAATGACCATTTGGATGAGGCATATTTATTTTAAAAGTAACATTTTCTGTCAGGAGAAAAAAAAAACTATTTTCTCAATAGAAGCACAAGAAACCCATGCTAGGAACTTGCAAAGAAAAAGGTTTTCATGCAAGAATAAAAAATGGTCTTTCAGAAATTGAAACAATGACAATAAGATGACATCCCAATTATACTATTGAGCATATAAGGCTTACATAGCCTAAGATAATTATTTCAAGTAAATGAGTTGGTTTGTTCTCCTATAATTTCTATTTTATAGTCTGATTATGTTTATGACATGTCCAACCTTCATTAGTAACAGTTAATGATTTAAATACTGGACCTCTAATGTTTTTTTACATAGAATTAAGAGAAACAAATGTCTATGATACCAGCCAGCGTAAATGAGGCTTTTTGTGCAATAAATTTCCTAAATGGTCAAGAAAACGGCTATAAAGTTCAGACTATAATTTTCAAATGAAAGCCATAAAATTAAAAAAAATCACTCATTACAACACGATACTTAAAATACTTGCAACTGAATATACAAATATATATTAGGAATTACGGAACTTTTATTTCAATTTTTAGGAGAAGTTGTCGAAGATGACAATGAAGGTTGAGTGATATTGAGTGGGAAAAGCCTTTCTATCTAGTTGTGCACTTAGAACCAGAAGTTGGATTTTTAAGTCATTTATCGAGTCAACTCAACTGGTGTGGAATTTAGCCTCCTCCAATTGATTAAGAAAATTCACATTCCTGGTAAGTCATGCTGCACGTGCACACCCACACCCACACCCACCACCAACTTCTCTTTTTGAACTATTCTTTTCCCCAATTTTTTTGGCTATTAGGTTAACGGTGAAATTGATAAGTCGCTAATGTTCTTGGTTTCACTGAGAACACATTATTTACCTAAAAATCGAAGAAGTCAAGAAAGAAAGTGTCAACAAAAAGAAATGGCTGTTTCTATTTAAAGATCCAAAGATATGTTGAGGTTTGATTAAACTTAATAATGTTATGATTAAATTTGAGCTTCCTGGCAAGCCAGCTTATTTCCCGTATACCTAATTCCGCTTACTCGAAGGTTATAAATGTTTGCATGAAATTCCTCTATTCTTTTGTGTTCGAACCGCAAAATAAAACCATCCCTCATTCGCATGTTTTACCCCCATAACTCCCTCATTTTCCTATTCACAATACTCTATTCCTATTCATCCTTCGTGTTCTAGACGTTCGCATAAGCCCTTGCCTGCCCTCGTCTCCCGTCATGCACGAATCTCACGACTCAGCTCTTCTCACTCGTCTTCTTCATCGTTCGTAACCCATGCACATACAAAGTTCCATTCATTTTTTTGGTAGCACATGACAGGATCGAAGTGTACAAAAAACGGCCAAAACTTCCATCTTTTCCTCACTATTCCACCCCGATCACCCCATGAAGCTTCTTTTGCCCATACCAAAAACCGAACTGTAATCACTTCGAACTTCTCACACTCCAAAAATCACAACCCCTTTGACTTCTGCAAGGTGCAATCCTCCGTCCTTAATTTCGCAAGATCAGCCTAACAAAGCCTTAACGCTCGTTTGCCTCCCTGCTTCGCTCCTTTCCTTTGTGTTTTCCATGTGTAGCGTCTCTTCCTCACTCCCCGTTCTTTCGGTCAAGTACGAAGCTTCAACGCCTAAAACTCCTTATGTTTCTTGTTTGAAACTCCCTACAATGCTTGTTCGAGCTTGAGAGCAAAACTAAACCGAAAGAAAGCCCCAACTCGTATTCAAATTCATGCTTCTTCCTTTGTTGTTGTCCAGTTAACTAAAATTCCCAAATTATTTTTCAATTTAACTTACAACCACCCAAGCCACTTCTACTCAAACCGAGCCTTTATTTCCCTACTTAGATGGTTTGGTCACATTAAATGCCGACCGTCTGATAATCCGGGTAGGAGAGTAGATGTTTTATATTCAACTTATGTTAAGAAAGGCTGAGGTAGACCTAGAAAGGCTTGGGCATACTGTAAAAAAAAAGGATCTTAATTTATTATAATTAAATAAAAATATGACATTCATTAGGACGCAAAGGAGCAAGAGGATTCATAAAATCAAGCACCAGTGGTCTAGTGGTAGAATAGTATAATTCCACGGTACAAACCTGGGTTCGATTCTCGGTTGATGCATTTTAACTTTAGCAATAATACATTTTTATTTAGCCGACCCCACTTAGTGGGATAAAAGCTTGTTTTTGTTGTTGTTGTTGTTATTATATAAATACAACAAAGAGAGAAAGTCGATTGTGTTTTTATTTTTGCTGACACCACTGTCGTGGCAGCCAATCTTGCTCGAAAAAAGGTATAAAAATGGGGCAAGGGAACTTTTTTTTAAAATATTCATTCAAGGAATCTTGAATACCTGTCCAGAGAATGAAGTGCCATCAAGGAAAATTGTGTACTCATTTGGAAATATTTTTATAAAAAAGGGAATTTTTAATTACTCCTCTTGGAAAACGCGAGCACATATCCAGAGAATTAAGTACCGTTGAAGAAACATTGAGTGCCTATTTAGAAAAATGCATGCTTGTGATTTGATCTTTTGCAAGAACGTTGAAGGCCCAACACGTCTCTTAAAACCGGTGGGTTATGAAATTTATTTTGTCTTTCTTGAATATCACATATGGCATTAAAGAAAAACAAGTGTTACAAAAAAAAACACAAAATAATGCCTCCTAGTCATTTACAAATGGGCCTTATCCTTTTGCAAAAAAAAAAAGGATCAAGATCACTAATGTATCAAAAAACAAAATTCCTATCCATGGCCATCTTGGCAGAAATACGAGCAACTCTGCTATTACTCCTGAAGGTGTGTTGAAAAATGACTTCTTTGAATCTGAACGAAAAGCCCAAATTTGGATTGTCGGGGAGAGAAAGTTGGCATTGCCTTATATCCATGATGCTTCCAAAAATAATTGATGCCATTAGAATTGTCACTTTCAATGATGATATCTTTGCCTTCAATCATCCAATCCGCAATAAGCTTCGGGAGTGACAACACCGCCAATTTTTCACTTGGGCAATATCCCAAAAGAAGTTGTAGCCCCTTGGTTAGAAGAAGCTCCCCCATATTTTCCCAAAGGATGACCCCAATGCCAGTCGAACAAGATGAATGCAAAACCCCACCGACATTCATTTTTATCCATCTCGCTGGGGGAGGGGGTTTACAACGAAGAGGATCCAGACATTTGGGAAAGCTGATTGGCACCCCAATGCTCCAAAAATAAATAAAATGAAGGGTTGGTGAAAGCCTCGAGTAAGTTAGAAGAGTCTTCAATGAAGGGTGACGTGATACTGACCAATGAGTCTTTTAAGACAAGCGATCAGACTATCAGTCACCCAATGCCCCATGATGGGAGTAGACCCCGAGAGACTATCAAATTTTCGGGTGACTTTGAATTGCAAATAACTAAAAGTTTTGGAATATGTGAACTTACAAAATCATCTAAAATGTGAATCATGTTAACTTGAAAAATATTTTGAAATGGGGTTTTTTAAATTCAAATATAGGCTCTTAGGGCTTAAAAATAATTTGAACTTAGACTTTTACACTTAGGCTCTTGGGGCTTAAAAATAATTTAAATTTGGGTTTTTAAATTTAAGCTCTTGGGGTTTAAAAATAATTTAAATTTGGCTTTTAAAGTTAAAATTTAGGCTTTTTGGGGTTAAAAACATATTTCAAACATGAAGAAGCTCTTAAAATTTTAAAACTCACCACCAAATTTGCAACATCACTTGCTAGTGAACAAAAGACAATTTCTTTTAAAGCCCAAAAATGAAATTGTATAATCTAAATTCACAATATTCTTGCAAACACTCCAAGTTCTAAATGAATGCAAGGTATATAAACTTCAAAGCTATTTCTTGATTCAAATGCAATATTTAAATAAAAAAATTTGTGCGAGCGCTTTTAAGACTTATATGAATGATGAGGTGAATACTCTTATGCTATAAACATTTTAAGATGTTTATAAAAACTAAGTTCCATATTAGATTCAATAGTTCAAAGATGCCAACATACTAAACATTTGATATAAAGTTCATATTAAATTCATAGTTCAAAGATACCAACATACTAAACATTTGATCACGAAGTCAGTGAATGCTAAGTGGGCAAAATTAAAATCAATGTTAATTCACCTACATGTGCTCTACCAAATTAAATAAGTATTTAAATTTAAACGGTATGAGAATGTTGCACAAGTTAAGTTAAATGTTCACTTACTCTGATAAGCATGTAAAGTTCATCCAAAAAATAAATTGATTATTTTAAAATTAAGTACCCTCATAGGTTAAAAAGTCAAATTCAAGATAATCAAACTACAAATAAGTTTGACTCAATTAGTTTTGATCCTCCTCTTAAGAATTGGAGTCAACGAGTCTAGTAAGTTTTAATAATGTCCAAATCAAAGATATAAGATTTGCAAATATAAATCACCTAGTTTAATCATCCTTCTCATAAAGACCGGAGTTGACAAGACTATCACTCTATATATGTTCAAGTGTTGTTCAAATAAATTAAAAAATAACTATTTTCGAATATCTAATCCCCGATGATGGTCGAGTTGATACAAGATTTTAACGGGGAAATCAATGTTTCAAAATAGCCAATAGAAATATTCAAGTTAATATAAATCACTTAAAATACTTAAAGTAAATCTTATTCATACTCCACAATAGTTTATCAGGAGTGAAAATTTTGATTAACTACAACTCACAAAGAGTGAATATAATACCTAATATATTATCATAGTTACACTCAAAACAATTTCATACCAGTAAGAATGTGGCCTAAGTCTTCTGTCCATGTGATTTGGCCCAAAGGCTGCACAAAAAATAACGGTTATAACTAGATCCCTCTGACCGAGTGATTGTTGCTAAATGACATCATTATAATGCGATCACGATCATGTCACATATATTCCCCAAACACTTCATACCTTTTGAGTTATGACCATAAGAGTACAATTGATTGACACAAAACCTTGTGTTAGTTGAGATCGACTAAAATTTATCCCCTTAGATAAAATTCCACCCAAATATACAAGGAACCCTTTAATGACACAACTTAGTTGCTGACAAAGGTCATTCAAGCAAGTTTGGTCGACTATCTCCTCCGACCAAGTAGATCACATGGGATTTTGAGTAGGTTCAACATCATTTCCCCCACCATCCATTTTAAGCGCAAAGAAATAAAATTGATCAATCTAAAATCCTAAATCTGCTACTAATATACGTTAAATATTCAACACTAAATGACTAGCCCTAATCGAAAGTGTTCTACTGTTATCAGGAGTAGCAATTAGTTATTAGCGCTTGCGCCAATGAGAAGCCTCAAACCCCATATTAGAAAAGTCCATGCAAAAAAAGAGTGAGAACTCTGAGTAACGTCTTATCTGCAATCCAATCCGTCTTCTGAAAACTTGAACTGAAACAAATATAAAAAACTCTCAATAGCAAACGTGAGAGTCTGGAGCACAAAATTTTAGGAGCCCGCATGATATAATTCTTTCTAGGATTATCATCCTTTCTTCTCCTTGTTTACCTTTTTATTCTAATCAAGCTCAAGTGAAAAGGCGCTAAATTTTGTAATGTACAATGAATCTAACATCCTCACAGAGGCATATGGGCTTGTATAGAAATGACATGAGCAGCCAAGACATTTTCAAATGGAATAGAAAAGACAAGCAAGTCTGTGTTAACATTAGTGTAGACCAAATTTTTTTACGCTTACATGATCAATGTGCTACTTGAACATGAGTATGCTTGTATTCTCCAAGGTTAATTAAGAGTGCTTCCACAACCTTCCAACTAATGCCAAAAAACTCACTACTATTCAAAAATAAAAAGATTAATTCGAAGTATACATATTGTTTATCAAAGACACACTCCAAGTTTCTGAGGAATGTATTAGAGCAAAGAGAGATATTGTAGACTCAAAGGTCGTGGCGAGTAGGCAAGACTTCATAGCATCACAGGCAGTAAAGAGAGATATAGTCAAATCGAAGCGAGCACCATCCTTCGCAAGACAAAACCTCTTAAAAGAACTAAAGATTAGCATCTTGTCCTTTAAAGGGACCACTCCTCAACAAAATAAATTGAGAAAGTTTCGATTGACTAAGCAAAAAGTTTTGCCAGTCATAAGTGCAAAGTTACTACAAGGCTCTCCTTCGAGAGGTAGGAGTTTTCTTGCTCAAATGACATGAAGAGGTCCCGACCAACTGTAATATGTTAGTGGTATCTGAGTGATATGATGAATTTTTGATGAGGTAGAGGAAATGAGGAGCACCAAGAGAGAAGTACTAAAACTTCTATTTTCTAAAGCTTGTATAATGTACATTATTCACATTCTTCTCACTCTGAGAGGTTTGCTCATGATAACCAATGTGATTCCCACGTCATAACCATCTTTCATGCTCAACGCAATTAAGAGAATATTGGATCCAAGTTCGTTGTATGGACCTTACTTGAGACTACAAATACTGATCGAGAGATGTGGCAAGAGAGAGAGACAGAGCAATCGAATAGAGTGAGCCATAGATCATTTCAAAGAACTTGGCTAAATCCTCATAAACAAATAGAAAATCAAACTAAGATGCAATGCATTGATTTGAAAGAAAAAAGAGAGAGAGAGAGAGAGAGAGAGAAAATTAAATTTTAGAATTTCTATGAAGTTTATCTAGAGTTGCATAATCAAGTGCCTAGCTCTTGATTTAACACTATTTATAAGTAGGAGATAATGTAGATGCAACAATATAGGTTCTATATGAATTGAGATTTGAAGCATTGTTGAATAGCGATTATAATTTATTATATACTTAATAGGTACCTCTATCAAGTAGTTAGTCATTTGATGGGTATTGCTAGTAGGTTGTGCATCAAGAATTTCCAAGTAAATGTGAATCTGGACAAAGTGCACATGTCAAGCACAATGAATTAATGGCAACAGCTAAATACATCTTGTCGTTTTATCGTGTCTGATGGTCTTTTTATTCAATTTAATCAATTTTCTTTATGACTCGAAAATCAAAATTAAGGGAAAAAAATAATTCTTTGATATAAATTTTGAGATTATTTATACTTCTTTAACAAAATTCAAGATCCCAAACTATGGCTTAACAAAAAGAATTAATTGTATGAATGCATAAATTCATTTAACTCTAAAGGTTAAGCAAATGATAAATCAACAAAAAAATCATTGGGACCATAAATGCTTGACATTGCTGTAATTTTCAAACCAAAACTATCCACTTAGAAAACATTATTTCATTAAGAAGAATCCAAATTAGTCAACTTCCACACATCACATGTATGAGATGATGTGAGAGAAAATTCATTAATAAGCATAACTAAAATAAAAAATGTGCACTCGAGCCACAGAAACCTTGAGATTATGGGTCTTGATCTTCTAGGCTACTTTAAGATCAGGATGCCTAGTCCCAAAAATAATCCAACTCTTTCAAATATCAAAATATAAAAGCAATTCAAACAAATTAGGATTCCTTAAAATTAAGGTAGTATCTGCCACTATTATCATAGGGCTAACTCAAAATTCCCAAGGTTCCAAATGCCAATCAAACACCTTAGGCTTCCATCAAAGCTACGTTATTAATCCCATCCTCACATCAAACTCATATCAAGAATCAAACCAAATTCAAATTATACGTGCAATCAAAACACAACCTACATGCTGCTTCATCTACAAGTTGAGGTTGTAGGGCACACCTTAGGACTGAATTCAATATATGGTTCACAAGACTCCCATTCAAGAAATCCACAAATCAAGACTACAAACCTTGAGCTTGAGAAACTCATAAGTGCTGTAAGCTACAAAAGTCAAATTTAGCTATTATATAAACGCAAAGACTATCCTAAATTTAACCAATACTCTTCAAACAAATCTACCAAATATAGGGTTAAGATTCCTGAAATTCGAATCAAATCAAATTATAACATTGGTTTTCTTGAAGCTATTATTGTAAAACCATGTGTGGACTGCCTTCAAATCAAATTCAGATGTCTTAACTTTAGGCAATCCTAATAAGCACAGATCTTGAAGTCAGCTCAACAAAACACTCGAGAGGCATTTCCATACACAGCACACAATTCTTACTAATTTACATATATCACAGCTAAACTTTTATATGAAGTTAAATACACCTTTGTTTGCATAATTTTAAGCACTAAGGTGCTATCAATGTAAATTTGCATGCTTTAGGTGTTAAATATGTAATACATAAGAATTATGTGGTATGTATGTAAATGTCCCAATATTTGTAATGCAGATATCCTACGACAAAAAATATTTTACATTTTAACTCTACGATTCTGAATGTTAGTTATCAAGAGATAAACAAGAAATATTTTACATTTTAACTCTAAGATTCCGAATGTTAGTAATCAAGAGATGAATATCCTGTCCAGACGAAAATTATCTTTAAATTGCTGATAAGAGCCTTATTATGAAGGAGAAAAATAGTCAATTAGCCATGAATGCTGAAAGCATAGCGATGATTAGATTGATAACTAAATGTGGGAAAAATTTGAACAACTTATATGAGAAAATTAAGAATGTCATAAACAATTTTTACCATGGTTCATTGCAGAGATTATATTGGACCGAGACTTCACGAACAAACCTTTGCCGGCTCAGGGCACTCTGCATAACACAATTAAGCTTTGAAGTATTTGAAACAAAAGGAAATACTTTACTTGGAATATTATTATTCTTAAACCAATATAAAATTCAGGAAATTTGATTCTTGTACAAGAAACATAATGATTTAGCTAAATAACCTCCTCACAAATCAAAGCTACTACAGCAGAGGAGGTAAGAATTGCAACAAGGCAAACTACAATATAATAAAGCTAAACAAGCATGATAGAGAACTTAGATAGAAGACTGCATGACACAAATCAAAGGATTATTAAAATTCTTGTGCCATGAGAAGAAGTCGGCCAGGGTTAGGAGTGCAAAGGAGGGTAATCATGGGCCAAACATTTCACATAGTTCAGGTGATAAGCCCTTGAATGGAACCTTTAGAAACAAAATTTTACTATTTATCCGATGATTTGCAACCTTACTTTTCAGTATCGCTCATTAAGAACTATAACATATATGTACATACTTATGTTGATAATGAATACACCTATCATTTATTTCACATCAAACTTCAATTTCAACTAAGGATTGCACTCATTTGATGCAACCGTCCATCAATCCAATTGATTAAGGGGCATTTACATACATACCACCTAATTGTGTGTTTACATATCTAACACCTAAACATTGCTTTTTTTACATTCATACCATTCAAATCTTTCATAAAACATCAAAATTATTACTATTTTAACTTTTAAAAAGTGAAATACACCTTTTCATACATTGGTAAGGTGGCATAGATGTAAGAAATTAATGTTTAGGTGTTGGCTATGTAAATGCATAAAAATTGAGTGGTATACATGTAAACCTTCCATTGATTAATTGCATCACTCAGCTCTCCAATTGCCATGCAGGCCTGAAAGACTTAGTTAAGTTAGATCAAAATAAACATTAACTGGTTAAAGTTTAGGAATTGTCCACAGTGTTATATCAAAATTTATATTTTTACTCGAGGTTTGAAGTATAGAACAAAAACTTAACTCTGATATTACTCCTTAAATTCTAATCCTTTTTTCTGAAATTGTGCTTAACTTCGTAAGCATCCTCTTGAAAATATTTGTGATTAGAGAGAAAAATTCATTAAACACTTGGAGTAGTCTAGAAAATACAATATTTATTAAAAAAAAAAAAAACTGGAGATAAAGAAGAAGTGGATTGATTTTCCTTTCTATCCTCACCGGCATGATGTAGAGAAACCGTTTTAACTCAAAATTCAATATATGTAATGGCAAACCGATCCAAAATCAACTGAGATACTATGGGTCTTTCTCAATTGATGGGAACCATGATATGATTTATAATCAAAGAAAGTGAACCTAATTTGCAAAAGTTATATGCATAAAAAATTAGAATTACCAATCATAGAAGACATAGTGTTCTTCTTCATCATCTATGTTTGGCGTACAACTTTATTTGAATCAGATTTTAGCATAAGACTGAACATTGTTAACACTAACTCGAAGAAGAGAGAACCAGCAACTTGTTCCAAAAATTTTTTTGGATGGATGCAAACAACTACTGAAAAAACGGAGTTGTTGTGGCAGAATTTTGCAAACAAAAATTATGAATAGGGGATTTCAATGGGTTTAGAGAAGAAAGACTTGTAAACAAAATGAAGGGAAAAATACTTCTTTGATTGAAAATATAAAATATTTCATTCAAGTTGAACTCAGCGAAAATAAGTAACGAAAGTTAATTCAAATTAAGGTCAGATCAAGCCTTACTATAACTAAGCACACCTTGAATAAAGATTGAGCAAAATGATTTTGAGTCAATACTCGAGATCAGGTTTGTAACTCTGTCAGCAACCTAGTTAAAATTCATGTGACCATGTTGTACTAAACCAAAAATTAATGAACCAAAGGAATATAACAGAGAATTCGAAATGGCTGATAAGTCAAAACATCACATGGAAAGTGCCCACATCAGGTATGCAACTTATACTGTAGTCTACAGTGTAGTCTTTTGTTAATCAAAAGGGAAAATTTACACATGTAGCACACAATTCTTATGTATTTACATATCTCCCACCTAAACTTTCATATTTACATACATAGAGCCTTGGCGCTTAAAATCTATGCATCAAAAGGTTATTTCACTTTTTAAATGTGAAAATAGGGCAGTTTTTTATGTTATCTTAAAGATTTGAGTGTTGTGTGTAAATATGAAAGTTTAGGAATGAGATATGTAAGACATTAGAGAAAGGCATTAAAATGATCCCCTAGATCTTTATAGGAGATTATTTTAGTCCCAAATTCTATAAAAGTTTAAATTTAGTCCTCCTACTTTCTTAATAAGAGGGGACTATTTTAGCCCGTATTAAAAAAGTATGGGAACTAATTAATCACTTTTATAAATTATGGGACTAAAATGGTTTCATGTAATAGTCAGGGATTATTTTGGCAATTTACTCGAATACATAAGAACTGTGTGCTATGTATTTAATGCACCATTTCAAAGTTGCAGTGCTCAGGAAAATTTTCACGTAAAAGTGAAAAAATTTGCAAATTAAATCCTCACGTGACCTTACCGAAGCTGCAGCAGCTCTTGTTATCATTTTACGCTCAAAAGGAAGAGGTGCAATAGTGGGTTCCAAGCCTGAGATACGAGTAAAATGAGGCTCAATTTTGATTTTCTCGCCCCCTTTCTGTTCACAGAAAGATTAGAACCATCAACATGATGACAAGAAATTACAGTAATCAAACTATGCACATGGATTCAAGTGATAGTGATAGTGATGCTTGGAGATTATATGACAATATGTTTGCTTTTATAAAGAAAGATGTACATAAATGCCACTCAATTCTAATGTATTTACATATCTAACACCTAAATTTTAATTTTTACATATATTCCACCTTACCTATATATTCCACCTTACCTATGCTTGAAAGGTGTATCACTTTTTGAAAGTTCAATTAGTGGTATTTTTTTATGTAATATGAGAGATTTGGGTGGTATAGATGTAAAAAACAGAGTTTAGGTGTTTGATATGTAAATATATAAGAATTGTGTGATACGCAAATGTAAATTAAAAAATTATTCTTCACCTTCACAATGCTACAGCTTTCAATACGATAGCTACATTGAGCACTGGATCCCCAAGCTCGAGAATGAATATTGTTCCTAATTGTTGATCTATAGCCTGCAAAGAACTAAGATTAAACCTATAGAATGAATGAAATAATGCAAAAAAAGCTTTGTCTCTTTTTTTCCTGATCATAGTATGCGATATATATATGTTTTTACAAACACCAGCTTATGTTATTGCTTACAAAGGAGTGCAGGATTTTAGTTTGTTTGATATGGCACAACTGTATCAAGAACTAAAACTCAATGAACTATCATTTTTCTCATGCCTGACTTAAACAAATTTGAAATGCCAGATCTACCAGGATTGGTGCTAGGCTTTTAAGACTCACACAAGGGAGAGATAGCTCGCCGAGATCCTTCTCCAAGCCTCCCAACCCATCTCACAGAGTGGTCATTGCTTTTCTTCTCATAAACGAAGAAAGAGAGTTCCTGGACTTTGGCCATAATGCATATGGAAGGGTTTTGGCCAACAGTTTACATCTAATAGTTATGCACTGAGAAAAGTGTCAAAATAATCCTGACTCTTTGAATAAGATCATTTTAGTTCCAGAGTTTATAAAGTGTCAATTTAGTTCCCAAATTTTTTTAATATGAGCTGAAATAATCTTCACAGAGAACTATTTCAGCCTTAATTTAAATAATTTGAAATTAATTTAGCCCTTTTGTAGACTTTGATACTAAAATGGCCTCATGTAAACAGTCGGGTACTATTTTGGCACTTTACTCGTTATTTAATACTCAAGAAAGATGAGAGTACTTTTTGTATGTCTTTTTTCAATTAAAAAAACATCACAGTAGACTCACTGTTGAATGCCAGTGGTAATCCATTGCACTGAAATGATTATTGCTCAAGTAGCAGGATGGAGATTGGTATGAAAAATTCAAACACGAGAGATATGAAGAACTATGTACTTGAAAGCAAAGGCAGGAGAAAGGTGCTATCCAAATGAAGCCTAAGAAAGGATTTATCAAACACATATTATGACATATATATAAAAAAGTTACCCAAAAAGGAAAAAGGAAATCTAAAAACATTATAGGCTCTGTAAAGAAAACAAAACTCCGTCAATCTCTATCCCAACTCTAAACTCTGATCACCATGAAACAATGTCTAAGATAGTAAAGGAATAGGCATTTTCTCCACCATTTATCCCTAACAAAGGTAAGAATTTCATGCAAGACAAAAATAGATTCGCCTTTTTTTTTAATCTTCTAGTAGCTGCTTCCTGTAGTTTAATGCCGATAGGACTCTCTTGAGTTGGCATTCTGAAACATTGATATTTCCTTAAATTTTTTTCATTCTTGAAGCCTTCTTCTGTCTCTACCTTCTTGTTGACCCATTAAACGGATACAAATTGCCTCATCTCACATGTAACTCTTTAAGAACAAAAGTTTGAAAGAATGGGAACCACATCTTTTAAATAAATAAAATCATAATATCTTAAGAATGTAAAAGCAAAAGAAACCCTTGCTAAAACTTACTTCTAGTGATTACGTTATCCCTTAAATAGAAAAGAAAAAAAATGTATCAGACTATCCGAAAGCATTTTTGCGCTAGGATGAGATGACAGGTAATCAAAGTTAAAAAGCAAATATTTAAAATGAGAAAAAAATCATAGGAAAACATTTTAGTCCTGTGCTCAATTTAGTCTTGACTTCTCAATTATGATAAAAAAAATAGTTCCTTAATTAAATTATTTTGGTTCACATATGAGAAGTTTAAGAGCTATTTTGTATAAGATTTGAGAAATCAATAGACTGAATTGAACAAATTAAATAGCCATGGAATAAAATAGCCTCCCATAAATAGTCTAAGGACCATTTTTATTTTTTATCTTATTGAAAACAATATAATATCTGAACAAAAGTAAAACAAAACACCAAAGGCATTTTTTTTAGCATTTATCTTCTAGTTTTGAGCATCAACTTTCTAATTTTAACCATCTATCTTCCTATCTTGACAAGAAAACTGATCGAGACATCCTAATACAATTTTTTTTTTTCCAGAGAGAAATAACCATTCTATATAAAGTAATAACCCAAACATGCACAAAGAAATATGAATGCATTGAACACATCTAATAGATAATAAAACTAGTTTGAGACAAAATTAATGTACAAAAGAGCATAATTTTCACAGGCTTAATTAAGTAGAAACATTATATAAATGTAAATTTACCATTATAAAAAAATGTACTCACAATCTTGTGGTGGTAGAATTTTTATACTTGCCCGCAGCTCATGCATAGCAGCTGGGAGAGGAGATGGTAATGGTTGACAATAGCCAGTGTGAATGAGAACTGAGAAACAAGGTCCCGTGTAAAAATATGGTCAAAAAAATAATAAAGCGAAATACATGAACAAAAGAACAACATAAAATAATGCACACCGGCAACAAAATCTGAATCGATAGTGTAAACATCTGTTCCCCACAATTGTGCATACTTAAGCTGCAATATATGATAACAAGTGAATCCTTGATTAAAATCGACCAATAAAAATGCATGTTATGCATTTAAAATTAGGATGGATTATTTTATGTTAGCAGCACAATTAATCTAAGCAGCAAATTCCAAGAAGCTCTAACTTATTCAATTAATTTATTAGAATTAAATAGAAATTCAAGCAAATCTCAAAGTGATTCACATGTGGATATGCAAATTAATAGAATGAATTATACTACTTGCCTTCAAAAAAGCTTCTAAGCTGACCAATTAATATTGGAGAAGAATAGATAGAAACAAGCCTATGCCTCCAAATATAATGAGAGCAATCAATAAGGTGTTGTGTTATATTATTTTATATTATATGTGTGAGTGTGCACGTGTGTGTAGAGAGAGATGAATAATTCTCCACCTAGAAAGAGAAACCTCCTTCCTCACAAATATATTTGCTATTGAATTTCAAATCCAGCAGCTACAATCTTTCCCCAAAAATAGCCATCAATTACTATATGGACTTGATATTTAGTCTCCTAGAACGTCTGCCACCCCCTAGACAATTGTGCATACTTAAGCTGCAAACTATGATAAGAAGTAATTCCCTAATCAAAATCAACCAGCAAAAATGCATTTTGTACATTTAAAGTTAGGATGGACAATGAGTTATAAAATCATGATGCCAACGCAATGACAGGTTTGAAAAAATAACCTAATTAATCTAAGCAGTGCACTTTCCAAGAACCTCTAACTTATGCAATGAATTTATTAGAATTTAATAGAAATTTAAGCAAATCTCAAGGTGATTCACTTGCTGATATGCAAATAAATAGAATTAATTATACTAATGGCGCTCAAAAAAGTTTCTAAGCTGACCAATTAATATTGCAGAAAAATAAATAGAAACAGGTATAGGCTTACCAATAAAATGAAAGCAATCAGTAAAGGTGTTATGTTCTATTATTTTATGCTATATGTGTGTGTGTGGACGTGCGTGCAAAGAGAGATGAATAAGAAAGGTCATTCCCCACAAATGTATTTGCTATTGGTTTTCAAAACCAGCAGCTACAATCTTTCCCCAAAGATAGCCATCAATTACTATATGGACGTGAATTTCGTCCCTGCTAAAAAATATTTCATGTGTCACGGATTTGGAATATTAAATCATACTGCACAACCAGAGGAATGATCTATTTCAATGAGCAAGAAGTAGTTCAAGAAATAGATAGTGACACAATAAATGATGAAGACGTCAAAGATGAACCTCAACTTCAAGCCAACAAGAAAGAGATGCTAGTGATTCAAGACGAGTACACGAGAGAGAATCTAGTTGGATTAGTCGATGATGCTCTAGAAAGTGAGTCTGAGGTAATGGGCATTTAGATAGAGTATCAGATTGTGATGCCTCGAGCAACATTATTACAAGCATTGAGATGAGCATTAACAGAACTGACATCAGATGTCCAAAATAACCTCGAGTTTGAGAACCAGTTAATAAACACAGGGCGACCTCAGAAAAGAGAATTCAAAATTTTCATATAATAGCCCACCTCATGGGTTACCCTACAGAGGGAGATCCAATTTATCAAAAATAAGAAGCTTTTGAGCAACTTCTAGGGAAACTATGTGGAGTCATTTGAGTATTAAATTCAATTGAACAGTATATCCACCGACAGATGACCGAACATGAGGGATAAAACACAGCGTTGGAAATCGCCTTAGGAGTTTGGTGGGAGAGAAAATCCTATAATAGGATCCAGGCCCTACCATAGAAGAAGAAGAAGAGGCCTCTTTTGAGTGGTTATACTTCAGTGCGGTCTATAGTGCCACATATTTCGTTTCAGAATTGATACATACTTATTTATCAATTACATTCAGACGAATATGAGAAGAGAAAAATGACAATTATAAATTTGATGGCTCAAGGCTTGGTTCGTGAGGAAATCTATCCTCATGCAGCTCCAGCTAAGTTTATGCCAAAAGATGAATGATACTTGTTTTACCAGGATGTGTTTTGAAATAAATACGCCTGCATAATTAATTTACAGAAAGATTATTCTATTTCTACAATTTTCAACTGGGCCAACTTGCCATAATATCATGAGAAGTCAAAAGCTTTGACGGATGAGGTTGAAGCTCCCCCAACTCCAAGAGACTGACACGAAGTTTCAAAAAGGCAAACGCGGGATAGCATCTGAATTTCCTACAATCAAAGAAAGGACACGACATTTGGGTCGCGCGAACCAAACCTAGCGGCTCTACTTTCAATTCCTCTCCAATTTTCAGCACTTCACATTTTATCCTTCATTCCTTCTAGTCATTTCCAATATATATGTGTTGTATTAGGGTTTAGATTTCAGTTTTGCTTGTGTTTTTGCAATGAAGGTTGTCGGCATCTCCTGTTTTCCCTTCTGGGGTTGTGTTTGAAGGCTAGTGATGCTACGGCTGTATCATTTTTACAATGTAGTGATTCTCCTTCAAGAGTCGAGTAGTGCGTCGGTTTTATCTCGCTCGTATTTATCCGTCCCCAACTCTTTTGCATCCCTTCCACTTCGCTGCCACACATTTCTCCTAGCTTGCAGGCTGCCCGGACAGCAACCATTTGTTGCTTTCATGCAGTTCCTTGCTATCCAACCATCCTCCATGTTGTCGCACCCCCGAGACAACCCTTCTTTTGCTTTCCCGCAGTCCCACGCATTCCCTGTCGTTGTTGTCACCCAAACAGCCATTCCCGGTTGTTTTGCTGTTGTTCCAGCCGTCTAGGACCCACCTTCCTACAGCCTTGCAGTTTTTCCAGCCACAAGGACAGCCCCCTCAGCAACCTTACTGCTGTTCCTACCTTTCCTGGCCTTCCCAGCCAAAGCCCCTTCCCTTCCCATGAGCTGCCACCTCCACATCGACATCTGCTGCATAGTGCTGTCAAGAATCCAGGAAACTGTACTTGGCTGTTTACTGCTTGCTAATCACCTCGTCCATCATCCCGCCACCTTCCAAATTCTTACCGACCACCTCAACCACCATAGGAACAACCCTAGTCACATGTTGTGTGTCGTGCGTGTTGTTATTTCTATTTCAATTTGTGCGATTGTATTTCCCTATTTTGAATTCAGCAATATGAATTTTCTATTGGTATTTGAGTTAACTCCGATGACAGTCCCTCTCCCTCCAAGTCCATATCCTCTTTGACAAACCATGGAAAATATAGTAGAAGAGTAAGGCCTAAGCCTAGCAAATTCATGCAATTAAATCTTCACCAAGGCTTATCTGATCAATTCTAAGCTTGCCTCTAGATGAAACAATATATTTTTAGATTCTCAGCTCATTTATAGGCTTAAATTTAATATCTTAGACAATATGATATTATAGAGAATTCACAACTAAAATTAAATCCATAATTTTAAAATTTACAACAATATTACAGCTATATTGTCTTCCTTTGTCATGACGAGTGTGAAAAGGAACTATTAAGCTCCATAAAAACCTAACTACTCCTTTTTTTATGACTCTTTTATATTAATTTATTTAATCAATTGAACAAGATTTTGGAAGATAGATATAGAAATGGATAAACTTGATTGTTGACCTTCTCGCGTATTTTTATTAATCAACATGTTTGTTTGTCATTAAGAAAGTAGCTCGTTATGAGAGCAATAAAATGCTCACTTAGTCAATGTTTGATAAAGCACCTTTTCACATTATTATGTTAACCTTTTTTTCAAAATTTCTTATTCGAAAATAATGAATATCCAGGATGGAAATTTATGTTTAACAAATACTCATGTGGTCGAAATAATTTCAATTTTAATTATTTATTCCATAAACAATTAACTTTGAAAAAAATACACCAATTGAATCATATAAATTTTGTAAAACAAATTTAAATGAATACATTCAATAATGATGTCATAAGTTATTTGAAGCTCATATGTATATGCTTAAGGCTTGATTATGCTTGATTATAGCTCAAACATTACACAAATATGAATAAGAGCTTGTACAACATTGATAACTAAATCAAGTTTAACATGAGATTAAACTAATTAAGAAGGTTAAAAAAATAGTCTAAACAATGCAGTACCGATCTCAATTTGGTCCATTTACAGAATTTTTTTTTATTGTTAGGAGTAATTTTGCAATTGAAACCATAAAAATTTAGTTAGGTGCGACATTTATAATGCCAACTTCTTATTATGTTTGACACATAAAAAGCATAAATAGTTATTATTTGGTGTTATCTACAAGCATATCAACTAAAAACGCCATCTTACCTTTGAAGAAACAAAGAATTTGATCATCAGTGTACAACCAAAGACTATTTATTTTACTAATAAACTAGCCTTTTTACCCTCTCATGAATCTGATTAGTTTAATCTATTCGCATACACACGAGCTTAAACATATCATCCACCTTTGAAGTTTTTCGAGCCTTATAGGCACAATAGTCGAATTATGCCAAGCTCCTTCCACTTGGAGCAATAAGGAATCAAAGTGACGATCGAATTTTGTGTGTTCACTCTACATGATTTTAAACAAGTTCATTGGCTTTTATGACAAGCAGAATAGACAAAGTTGGATAATCTTTCATATTTTATAGCGGCATTTACATACATATCACTCGATTCCTATTGTGTACATATCTAACACCTAAACTTTACATTTTACATTTAAACCACCAAAATCTTTCATATCACATATAAAATGTAACTATTTTGACTTTTAAAAAGTGAAACACGCATTGTCATGTACATATATGTTAAAATTGAAGATTATGCATTAGATATGTAAATTGACAGGAACTGTGTGGTATGTATGTATTTGCTTGGGTGCAAAAAGGGTAATACTCTTGCCACTACAAGAAATAGAATAAAAACATATTAATGAATTGAGGCCATTTTGCAATGCATTTACCAAAACCATCTTTTGTGCAACAGTTCTATCTACTATTGCTAGAGAAAAAATAATAAATATTTCTGCACTCCTCCGGCCCTTCATCAAGCTTTCCCATGGCATTT